TCAAAAATAAATAAATAAATAAATAAATAAATAAATAAATAAATAAATATTCAAGAAAGCCTTCCAAAGAGCGAAATAAGGCGTGCCCACTCTGGGTGTGTGGGATAAGCATAAAAAGAATCGATTTTCATCGAACATTCACAAATGTGCGTTTTAAGAACTACCCTCTGCATCCAGCCAGAAACCTAGACAGCAGTAAACATCACGTACACATTTACTGTCTTTGGGGAAAATGCTATACTCTAGGAACTAAGATAATAAACATTACCTTATGAAACTGGTGCACTTTCAGCAAATAAAAAAGTGCCTTGAGAATTGAGATGTTGAGAGAAGGAGGAAAGAACACCGCAAAAGCCCGGCTATTTTAAAAGCATGTGTGTGTGTACTCTTGTCTTCTCCTTTCCTACCCCATCATACCCCTACCCAGTGCTCAACCAGGCCGGCATTACCCTCCCCAAAACCAATCTCTTCTCTAGTTCGCTTCCTTTCCAGCACTTCTCACACTCTGTAATGATGCTGCTTATTGATTTTCACCCTCTACATTTTACCACGGCAGTGGCTTCCTTTACTGAGGTCTGCATGGCGAAAATAGTGCGCATCTGGTATGCTCAACTGGCTGAACCCAACCTACTGTGTTCAACAGGGTCCACACAGCAAGCTCCAGGCTGGGCCAGCCCAGGCTCAGGAGCGAGACTCAGCGAGGCCCGGCCCAGGCTCCAAGGTGCTCGTGCGGGTGGGCGATCGGCGTCGGTTCAGGAGGGACTGTGGGGGCCGAAGGGTCTCTGTCCGAGAGGGAGCAATAACTTCTTGCAATTAGTATTTGACAGATCAGAACAGAATGAGTACCCAAGCACAAAACGGCTGGAAAAACTGATTCAGGGAGTTGTAATTATCCCACATGTCACCTTTTTATTTTTATTAATATTTAGAAAGCCGAAAGTCACTTTTACGGTACTTTCCCCATCTAAGGTTTGGGGAAGCTCTTGTAGTCCTACCTTTAGTCATCATAGGAAGACAAAACTGCTTTTGGTTCTCTTCCTATGTTAGGTGGCTTGCTTAATATA